CCCTAAGCCCTAAACCCTAGAGCCCCCTAAGAGTTTCCCAGCGTCCCATTGCAATGTCCATGGGGGTTTCCTCGTTGTCGTTGCGGCAGCTGGGGTCCGCTCGACAGTTGAGAAGCAGCTCCACCGATGCCTCTGAGGGCTCCTTTAAGGGTGCCCTTAAAGGAGCCCTAAGCCCTAAAACCCTATAGTACCCTTGTAGAACCCCTTAAAGGAGCCCTAAGCCCTAAAACCCTATAGTACCCTTGTAGAACCCCTTAAAGGAGCCCTAAATCCTAAAACCCTATAGTACCCTTACTGAACCCCTTCACAGGAACCCTTAAAGGAGCCCTAAACCCTAAAACCCTATAGTACCCTTTATAGAACCCCTTACAGGAACCCTGGAACCCGTACGGGATTATTTCAGGGTTCCTTTCGGGGCTCCTCTTGGGGATCCCGAAGGGTTTAAGCTGAAGCCTTATATAGACTTCAGGGTGCGGCTCAGGGTCTAGGGGCCGGAACTTGCTCATGGAAGTTTGGATGCGGCTGCATCTGAGACCGCGCAGGTTTGGGAAGGCAACAGCAAAACTCACCCTAGACCCTAAACCCTAAACCCTAAACTCTAAACCCTAAACCCTAAATGGGGCCGTCGGGTCAGGACAACCCGCCTCATCCCGGCACCGAACTGCCAAATGAAGAGCTCGGTCCTGGTATCGGCCGTCGAAGCTCCTCTGGGCTTTGAAGTGGGTTTAGGGTTTAGTATTTAGGGTTTAGGGCTTTGGGTTTAGGGTTTTATTTCATAGTGGTTCCTTTAAGGAACAAGTCCCAAAAAGAAGTATTAAAGTATGGTACTCCAAAGCCCAGTAGGTCCTGTATGGCCATTCATGCTGCCGTTTCGCATCGTCAAAATCCGTGGGCAGCATTTCTCCATTGACATCAACACCCGGCAATCGCAGGAGGCCGCCCACGGCTAAAACATTTCCTTCGTGGACGGCCCAGAAAAAATGATGCTGAGGCCGATATCTGCTGCCGTAATGGCCGATGAGCTTCTTGGCCTCAGCATCCTGGGTCTGCTCCAAGTCCTTCAGTAGTCTCTGAGGAACGACGGTGCTAGTGCAACTTTCCAAGCAAGGAGGGCTGTATGCGGGCAACTGCACACAAGAAGAACACTACATCGCAATTGTAAACGCATACTCCTCCGTGCGGCCTTATAACTTGTAACTCCTGCCACTCCCTAAATCATAGGGCGCCTCCGTGTAAAACTGATATTTCCAAAGGAACCCATTTCTCGAATGTAGCAGAGGAAATGTTTCGAAATCCCGGGTCCTTTTTCACCAGTATCACCGACACACTGCCATTAAGCTGCGCTGCCAACCGTGGGGCCTGCAGGGAGTCATCCAGCGGCTGGTCTTTCCAAACAAGCTGCTGCAACATTTCGGGCGTGCCGTCGATCTCTGCAATCGCCTGCTTCAGAGCCCTGACATCCGCAGCTGCATCAAGCGCTACAGTCGCAATTTCTTCTCCATTCAGCCTCAGCACCTTGACGTCCATGGCACGTTGTAATTACCAAGAACAAGCTTTGAAGATGGAGCCTGCAATTGCAATGATCCTGCGCTGGCCACCTTCCTCGTACCTAAACGTGAAGACACTCGGCTGGAAAAACTGCGGCTGGTGGTTCGGGTATTGGGGGATCTCGAAGCTGAAGATCGATGAGATGCAAGTGCGCCGAACAGAAACGAAACAAAAGCACGTACGCGAACCCGCCTCGCGATGTGATGCCGGTTCCTGGGCTGTCTTCAAGTCTACAGTACATGTTTCAAGCACCCTAAACCCCACACTAAACCGTTTGGCGCCGTAGCTCAACGAGAGATCTCGGTATGACCCCGGATTCTTCGTAGCCCGAAACTTTAAAAAAAAAACCCTAAACTTATCTAAACCCGATTTAGGGTTTTAGTACCCTAAACCCTAAACCCTAAACCCTAAACCCTAAACCCTTTTTGTGTTTAAAGGGTGGTGGGCTCTTCACTCCGCTAAGCCTCTGGCGCGCCCGGTTGGGCACACAGAAGCCGTCATTCGAGTCAGGGTTTAGGGTTTAGGGTTTAGGGTTTAGGGTTTAGGGTTTCGGGGGACGACCCACACCCTTGCAAGAGTCCTCACAGCATGTTCTGGGATAAAGACTACCCTAAGGGTTCAAAGGACCCAAGAATAAGGTACTTTGGTTGCGGATAGTAGTCATCAGGGTTAAGTGGGAAAGTTTATGATTATTAAGTAAAATCGAAGCAGGAATAAGTACCAATACTATCTTGGGGTTTCCTTGTTACATGTATACTATACAGGAGCCCAAAACCCTAGTCTAAGTATTAAGGCCCCTTTTGTACTTGGGACCCTTCGGACTAGGTCCCAACGTCTGGAGATACGGTTCAACTTTGAGGCCCAGAGGACCAGTACTTCGACGGCTTTGGGTTTTTAAGGCTTGGGTTTTAGGGTTTAAGGTTTAGGGTTTAGGCTTTAGGGTTTGGGGGCAGAGTTGGTAAGTTGTCAATATGCAAACCCCCCCTCAAGGTAACAATATCTCTTGTGCACCAGAGAGGCTGCAAGAGAGTACCGAAGTAGATCTCTCGCTCGCCACTCCTGCTGAAGGCAGACTTGCAGTTTCGAGTTTAATGTTTAGGGTCTCGGTAGGGCTCGTCTAAGATCCGAGAATTAAGGTTCCCATGTTCAGGGTTCAGTATTTTCACCCCAAGTCACGAATCCTCGACCTCCAAACGCATGCTCGTTCATTTCCAGGGGCCTGAATGCCTTGTGTCACGGCCCCGCAAACCTCCCTGTGTGCTAAAGCTCTCGGCACTCACTACAGTCATGTTGACCCTTATCCTACGGAAACCACACGTCTTTACTCTTTCCACTAAGTTACAAAAATGATGGATCCCAGCAGTCCTTCTTCATGGTACCCAAACTGGACCCAAAGTCCCAAAATACGGTTGATGATGTTAACCCTGCATTTTACCTTAAGGACCCAAAACTCTGGGAATTATGGCCTATTCTAATTATGGGCAATGCAGGATTTATATCATCAACCGTAGGGCCGCGATCACTACATCATTCGGCGAAGGATCCCGAGGGTCCAAGCAATCATGGCGGGAGAGGGGTTTGGGCGTTTAGGGTTTAGGGTTTAGGGGTTCAGGGGTTCAGGGTTTGGGGTTTAGGGGCTTAGGGTTTGGGGTTTAGGGCTTAAGGTTTAAGGGTCTTGGGGTTTTTGGCTTTGGGCTTGAGGCTTGCTCCAAAAGGAGTCTTCTGTCTTCGGGTTTGGGAATGAGCGGCGTGGTAGGGTCCGGCTCAAGCGGCTTAAGAGGCCTCCCAAACTTAACAAAACCCGAAACCTCGAATCCACTGAGGGCCCTAAACCCTAAACCCTAAACCCTAAACCCTAAACCCTAAAACCCTAAACCCTAAACCCTAAACCGTCAAAATCCTGCGTTCAAGTGTCGGGGGCTGGAGCTGAGGATTTGGTGTTTGGGGTTTAGGGTTTA